ATTGTTATTATTATTATTATTATTATTATTATTATTATTATTATTATTATTATTATTATTATTATTATTATTATTATCGTCTTCATCTTCATTTCCAACTTCTCTTGCTACACTTCCTCTTCTACTACCCCCTCTTTCCTCATCCACATCTCTATCATCCCAATCTTCTATAAATTTATAGCGTGCAGGTATATGATCCAAATAATTCCCATTTCCAATAAACCAATCTGAATTACCAAAATGTAATCTATAAGATATTAAGCCTGCAAAAATTCCTAAAATTGCACCTGTTATAATTTGAAATGGAAAATGTCTAAAGTCGTTAATCCTTGTGACTGAAACCCATGACGCAAATAATAGTGGAAGACATAAAATCAAAATCTTAATTATATAATAACAAAATCCTATTATTATTTAATTTATTAAAAAAATTAAAATTCACAGAAAAGAAATAAAAGTGTATGAGACTTACTTTCCACAAATATGAACCATTTGTCCATGGCTAAATAAATAAAATGTTAATTAATTAGATAATCTAGTATTATCACACGATAATTATATATATCATTTACCTTTGATTTACCATTTATATATAATATGAAGAAAACCCATCCACCAAACGCAGTTGCTGAATGTCCACTTGGAAATCTTTATAATAATAATTAACATAATCATAATCAATTAATTACTAAAACAAAAAAAACAATCACTGACTGATTGATTGATTGATTGATTGATTGATTGATTAATTGATTAATTGACTGACTGACTGACTGCTAATTAATTAATTGGTTAGATAGCTTACCCTTGAAATTCAGTACTTTCTAATTTTCCTGTACAAACATCATTTGTAAAATATATTTGACCTGGCGAAGCATTTATTTTCGATGGATCCGGTTGACATTTTGTTAAAAATGTTGGTCTAAGGCATAAATGTCCTCCAACAGTTGCCCATCCAAATGATGACAAAAATAATGAGAATGCTTCAAATTAAGGAAGAAAAATATAGACGGATAAATAATGATAATGAATTGTTATTATTTTATTATCGTTGTTATTATTGTTGCTTTGTTTCCTCCGATAAAAAAATATAATTAAATAGAGTTGATTACCGATACAAGTGAAAAGACCTGTTAACATATGATAAAAGTTCCAAATATCAAAAAAAAATATCAACTCAAGTAATATTAATATGATACCAGGTAGAATCGTATTTACTACTGTTGCAATTGCTGTTGGAACTATCTCAGGAATAACTGGTCTCTTTAATGATTCATCATAAACTGAAAAATATGGCGTTGTTGGCAAATTTGAATATT